GGAAAGAGTTGGTCTCTGTAAGCTGCCCTGGGGCACACCTACAAGGTTGGCATGTTTTCTGAAGCATGTCTGGCCAGGCGCCTCTGCCACTGGCCACTTTTGCTCTAGCTGCCCAGAGTCCCACTTCACTGTCCATGATATGGGAACCCAATCTGCCCTCGCAGCGTAGCAGGGAAGCCATTCCAGGCTCAGGCACCCTGCTCCCAGATGCTTCATACTTTGCTGGAACTCAAATCCACAGCTTGCACTGGAAGCCTGCCCAAGCTGCTAATGGGACTTGTGTAGAGCCCAAAAGAAATGTAAACCAAAAGAAAAACTCATCTTCAGATTCACTTTGTCATCCTGAGACAGCTGCTCCTCTGATTCTCCCATTTTCCTCAGGGGGTTCACCTGGGGACAGTTACAGCAGCTCTAGCTTCCCCTCTCTCTGGTTGTCTGCTGCTTTTCTTCCTTTTCCTTTTATTCTCTCTGCCATCTCTGGTCACCTGACCTCCTGGCCAGCTGACCTGGTCAGATGCTGCTGCCTGGCAACCTGGCTCTTGGCTGCTCTGGTGGGCTGAGTGCTAGGAAAGGAAACTGCTAGCTCTCCCATGAGCAATGCTCCTACAGCCCCCGGTGAGGAACCCAGAGGTAAGGGGATGGGAGGCAAGGGACAAGAAAGTCCCAGCAAAGGGTGGGGGAACCTGGGTCACTGACCCCTGCCCTGCTTCTAGTAATGGGGTTGGGGCCACATTACAGTCCCTTATTGAATGGGGGAAGCAACCGAGTGGCTGATTATGCAGAAAAGGCTGAAGTACTCAATGCCATTTTTATCTCAGTCTTCATGGGCAAGGTAATTTCCCAGAGTATAGCACCTGGATGCACAGTTTAGGGAGAAGATGAGCAGCCAACAGTAGCAAAAGAACGGGTTAGGGACTATTTAATAAAGCTGGATATGTACAAGTTCATGGGGCAAACCTGATGTAACCAAGGGTGCTGAGGGAGTTGGCTGATGTGATTGTGGAGCCTCTGGCCATTATATTTGGAAACTCATGACTGGGGGAGGTCTTGGACAATTGGAAAAGGACAAATATAGTGCCCATCTTCAAGAAAGGGAAGAAGGAGGATCTGGGGAACTACAGACCAGTCAGCCTGGTGACTCAGTCCCTAGAAAAGTCATGGAGCAGGTCCTCAAGCAATCTATTTCTGAGCACTTGGAGGAGAAGGTGATTAGGATCAGTCAGCATGGATTCACCAAGGGCAAGTCATGCCTGAGCAACCTAATTGCTTTCTCTGGTGAGATGAATGGTTCTTTGGATGCAGAGAAAGCAGTGGACATGATATTCCTTGACTTTAGCAAAGTTTTGATATAGTCTCCTACAACACGCTTGCAAGCAAGCTAAGGAAGTAGAGTTTGAATGAATGGACTGTAAGGTGGATAGAAACCTGGCTGGATAGTCAGGCTCAAAGGGTAGTAATGAATGACTCAATGTCTAGTTGGTAGCCAGTATCGAATGAAGTGCCCCAGGAGGTTGCTCCTGGGGCTGGTTTTGTTCAATATCTTCATCAGCCAGGAAGATGGGATAGAGTGCATCCTCAGCAAGTTTGCAGATGACACCAAGCTGGGGGGAGTAGTAGGGACATTGGAAGGTAGGGCTAGGATTCAGAGAAACCTGGACAAATTAGAGGATTGGGCCCAAAGAAATCTCATGAAGTTCAATAAAAACAAATGCAAAGTCCTCCACTTAGGATGAAACGATCCCATGCACCAGTACAGGCTGGGAACTGACTGGCTAAGCAGCAACTCTGCAGGAAAGGACCTGGGGGTTACAGTGGACAAGAAACTGAGCAGGAGCCAACAGTGTGCTCTTCTTGTGAAGAAAGCTACTGGTATACTAGGCAGAAATAGTAGGAGCATTGCCAGCAGATCGAGGGAAGTGATTATTCCTCTCTATTCTGCACTGGTAAGGCCACATCTAGAGTACTGTGTCCAGTTCAGGGCCCCCTTTACAAAAAGGATGTGGACAAGTTGGAGAGTCCAGTGGAGGGCAACAAAAATAGTTAGGAGCGTGGGGCACATGTCTTAAGGGGAAAGGCTGAGGGAATTGGCCTTATTTAGTCTGGAAGAAATGGAGAGGGGATTCAATAGCCTTCAACTACCTGAAGAGTGGTTCCAAAGAGGATGGGGCTAGACTGTTCTGAGTGGTGGCAGATGACAGAACAAGGAGCAATAGTCTCAAGTTGCAGCAAGGGAAGTTTAGGTTAGATATTAGGAAGAATTTTCTCATGAGGATGGTAGTAAAACACTGGAACAGGTTACCCAGAGAGGTTATGGATTTTCCATCCTTGGAGGTTTTTCTGAGCCGGCTAAACAAAGCCTTGGCTGGGATGATCTAGTTGGGGATGGTACTGCTTTGAGCAGAGGGTTGGACAAGATGATTTCCTGAGGTCCCTTCCAACCCTAATTTTCTATGATTCTATGGTTTTCATCTTACCCAGGACCAGCCTCTAGGTTATCCTGCCCAGGGCACTTTGCCTCTCCCTGCTACTCCTGGGTGTCCTGGTCTCCTGTCTTGGCACTTCACCTCTCTTGGCTACTCCTGGGTATCATGGCTTTAGTCCCTATGACTGGACTGCCCTGCCGAGCACTTCGCCTACCTCAGCTCCTCCCAAGTGTTATTTCCAGGTCTGCCTTCTCCATCTGGGCCCTTCACTTTTCAGGGCTACTTATGAGTGGTGGGTAACAACCCTGTCTGCCTCTACCTCTGCTCCCTCCATGGCTTTAGGCTCATGGCCCTGTTAGTCTCTGGCAGTGGCCCCTTCTGGACCTTTGGCCCCTCCTAGGTCCTGTCCCTGCTCCCGAGCCAGCTAGGATTGCCCAGCTCTCAAGCCTTTTGTCGGCTATGGGCTTCATGTCTTCTGATTCCCAGGTCTGTAGCCCTTCCCTAGGTTCTGCTCCTAAAATAAAGGCCACCTGCCTGCATAAACAACTCTTTCCACCCAGCTACTACTCCCTTGTTCCCCAGGCCTGCAGAGTTGCTTACCCTAGTGCCATAGTCATTCCAGAAGCCTGGTTGCAGTCCTGCTGCCAGGAGCTCCTCTCCTCATGACTTCCAGGGCTAGATTTCTGCATGCTGTACTCTGCTTTGGCATTCATGATCTGGAGACCTCCTGCTGAGATGTTGCCTCAACAATCTCCACAGTCTTACTGCTAGCTCAACTCAGGCCTTGGGCTAAGCCCAGCCTCCTCCCTGGGTCATGTGGCCCCTGATTGCTTCCTGCCATACCTACAGCCTTTCTGCCTGCTCTTAAAGTATCAGGAGCACCAGGCCTCCTGCTACAAAAGATAAGGGTGAAGATGAGAACAGTGAAGAGTATGAGAGTAAGGATGCATGTAAAAGTGACTGGTCCTAATCTGTAGGATCTAAGAAAGGAGTAGCACTCACCAGGTTTTGGACAGAACCTAATATAGATTAAGTTAAGTTAATGCTTGAATTGAATCAAAGCTAATGTTGAATTTATAACATACTGCTATAGTATTGCTGTAGTTTTTGTCAGGATTATTTATAAAAATAATACCAAATTTTTCCTTGTGTGAAATCTAATTACTGTGGGGAGGCATCTTAAATGTCGGGTCATCTTGGATTTGAGTAAATATGGTATATTTACAGTGTGATTAACAGGTTAATCACATCTTAATTGTAACATCTGCCAGGGACATAAGAAACCTTGCTGAGATGGACAGTTACTGTGATTGTTTTTTTTTATTAGAGCAAGATGCAGGTTCAGCTCTGGGAGGCATTGCAATGTGGGAGCTAATTAGATGCCTATGTTGTGCAGTGCTCCTATTGCCAGCTTTCCATGAAGACATTTTCTTATTATATAGTGATTTGCAGAAATTTTATGTATAAATTTCTTGTCAACACAGAATTGCAGTATGGTCTATTTCAGCTTTAATTTAAATGCCAGAATCAGTACTATCCAAATGCTACAATTCAATGGAGAGAAGCAGTTTTGGCTGGCAAATACTGCTTTTAAATTTATGGAAAAGTATAATTGACATAACCAAAAAAAAGTATTTAACATTTTTCTAGATACCCAAACTAGTAAAAAGTACTAATTTAACCTCCTTTAGGCCACAATGGACGCATCTACATGTGCCATTGATGCACAGCAGTAAACAGCAGAGCTTATTGCTCCAGAACTTATTGCTTCCGGGGAGCTCCTGAGTGCACTGTTTATACATGCACCCAGACCGCAGCACATTGACCCAAGTCAAGCTGTCTGGGGCATGAGGGTGCTTCAGTGCAGGGCTAGCTGGCAAGAAGTCCCTGAACAGAAGCACCCTTGTGCCCCAGTCAACCAGGTCAGTGTCTACACATGTGCTGCTGTGCATGAAAAGAGTCCACAGCAGGGTAGTGCTTGTAAATACAAGTACTACCCTGCTGCAAAGTTTATTAGTTTCCTGTGTCCTAACAGGAGTGCATGTGTAGATCCTGAGATGTTTACTGTGGAGCTAATTAGTCTACTTCACAGTAAACATCTTGTGTAGATGTGCCCAATGTAATTTTTTCACGTACTACAGAAACCTCATAAGCATAATACAGAAACTGCAGTCTATCATAGTGTCAGTATGCTTACATCTAGAGCCCCTGATATTTTGTATGGTGGGTTAATTTTAAAAGTTGTTATATCTTTGTCACAGCTGAAAATACATTTAAATTTTAATTTGACATACATTGCTGAAATTCTGAAAGTGTTAAAAGACTTAGGCCACATAGAAGCATTCATCCCATCCCTCCTGCTTCTCATACCTTCTTGAGACAAGGGTGATCCTAGTCTGGGAAAAGCATGGGCTGTTTCAATCCTTTTATCCCCAGGGGGACTGGAGCATCAGGGCAAAGCCTCCTGTTCACTTCTCAGTCTGGAGTCCCTTGAATGAGAAACAGGTAATGGACTCACAGCATCACTCCCTCCACTTGGCTCTCAGTGCCAGTAGTGGGGACTACATGCTGTGAAGAATAAAGAGGATAGGTCACTCTCCCCTACTGATCTATGGGAGAGGTGGGATCAGATGCTCCTTGTGCCTTCTTCATATTGGAATGATTCCAGTCTCTTGGGGGCATGGGAGCCTTTCCCTGTGACACCACTCATCTTGGTCTGCAGGAGGAGTCTCTGGGAAAAAAACTTGAAATGCCTGAGTACTTTGGGTTTCTACCAGGAGAGCAGTGATTCTCCTGGTAGAAACAGTGTGTCTGTTCATGGCTTTAGGTAAAAAAGGGCAAGCTATCATTATCTTTTGTGAATGACAGTTGCATGACTACTTACTGTGTAAGTACCACAGAAAATATGTATGAGAGAACTGAGAATGAAAAATGATAGTGCTAGTTGCATTAGATGATGTTGGAATCTGAACCAAATAACTTAGTGTGACATTTGATATGTCAAACTGTAATGTAACATACTGTTGTAACATATTATTCTAATATACATACATATGCATCTATATCTATATACTAGCCAATTGCCCATCAAGAATGATGGGGGGCCTCTGTGAAATGGCTGCATTTCAATTCGGTTTTGGATTCTACCATTTCAGAGGACGGTGATTCATTTTGGTGTTTCGTATTATTGTCCTTTTTTGTTTCAGCCAAATCTGTTTCAGAGATTCGACTCTGCCAAATCTCCTCTGAATCTGTTTCGAAGGGGTGCAAGGGAAGCTTCGCACAGCCTTACCCAGCTGGGTGGGGCTTGGGGCTGGGTGGGGCTTGGGGCTGGGGGGCTTGGGGCCCCAGTGTAGAGCAGGATGGGGCCATGGGTGGCTCTGGAGGAGGGGGAGTGTCACTGCCCTCTGAGCAGGCAGGGAAACCCCTGCGCAGATCTCTGATCCCTGTTGAATCAGGTCGCGGGGCAGGGAAGTAGCACAGAGCAGCGAGCAAGCCTACTGGTCCCTGCCATGTGACTTGGTTCCGTAGGGAGCAGAGATCCATGCCGGGGTCTCCTTGCTGCCGCTGCCCGCCCTGCGCTGCCCTGATGATGTGGGGCTGTGTAGGGTGGGCAGCTGCAGTGAGAAGACCCTGGTGTGGATCTTTGTTCTCTGTGGAGCCAGGTCACATGGCAGGGAATGCCCAGCTCCTGGCTTGATTCCCTAGCTCCTGGTTCGATTTCCCTAGCCCCCAGTTCGATTCCCCAGCTCTCTGATCATACCCCCAGCTCTTCATGCCAGTTTTCAGCAGGCTGCCACTGCAGACTGGGGAGTTGAACCAGGAGCTAGATGTCAATATTAGAGCAGTCCTCCCCCCGCTTTTTTCCCTCCCTCTTCTTAGTTTTTGTTTTCCTGCAAGCCCAGCTCCGAAACTCCAAAATTCTCCAAAACATTTTAGAGCCTTCTGATTCATTTCAGATTTGGTGTTTCCAGCGCTGAAACAGCCCCAAACATCTCTGATCTCGTAGGATTTTCTAGAAGTTGCTAATCAATATATATATATATGTATGTATGTGTGTGTGTGTGTATATATATATATAATATATATATATGTATTATATATATGTATGCTTGTGCGTGCGCGCACACACACACACACACACACACACAGAGTATAATAACAGTTCTGTTGTCTCAGCCGAGCCTCTAATTTAGCACAGTTATTTGGTGGATGGTTTTGTAGGTATATACTCCTCATGCATATTCCATTTACAATTATAATGTGAGGATTTCTTGTTTTGATTAACAAAGCTAATGCAATGCAATGCATTCCAAGCTATGCACAGTTTATTCTCAGTGTAGCTGAAAAAAGTATAATAAGTGGCTTCATAATCTGTTTCCATTGCTCTGGAATCATGGGCTAGCTAGAAGCCAAAGGGGCAGCCAGCATAATTGTAACAGTCACACAAGTTCTGATATACCAGATAGAGATTAGAAGTGCATTTTGCATTTCATCAGTGTTGGTTGTAACATAGGCAGGCAAGGTTCTTTGGGTAAATACAATACCTTTTAATTAGATCAACTAAATAGTTGGAAAAATTGTTCTTTGCAAACTTAGGGGTACAAACACTCTTCTCCCTCTGCCTGAAGAAGGGTGTTCGTACCTGAAAGCTTGTAAAGAATAATTTTTCCAGCTATTTAGTTGGTCTAATGAAAGATATCACATTTACCCAAAGAACCTTGTCTACTTTGCATTTTATGCCATTCATTCCTGCCCCTGGCATTTCCCCTCCACAGCATTGTGAAGAAATAGCCGTGTAGAGCTAGTTTTTAGTGAACCAAAGCTATTTTTATCTATTTTGTAGCCATGTTTCATTGCAAAAGAGATGGAATCAGGATGGTGAACCTGACTTTATGAGTTTGCATGTAACAACTGTTTTGGGAGAAAATAGTTGTTGGCTTTTTAATAACATTGTAACATTAAATATTTTCTTAGATGTTCCAATCACATATCAAGCGGAAGGAAGCCGGCAAGCCTTGAAGGTTTACTTTTATCTTGATAATTACCATTTTGAGCAACTTCCTCAACGATTAAAAAATGGAGGAGGATTTAAAATACACCCAGTACTTTTTTCACAAGGTAATTTATTTTAACCTCTTAAAAAAAGTGTCATGAAAATCTGCAGTGTTACTTAGGCCCTACTTTAGTAAAGTATTTAGTTGCATGCATAATTTTAAGCACATGAGTCAGAAATAGAACCTGATTTAAATTGATTTGTTTGATTAGGGCTTTAAATCTAATGTGAATTTTAATTTTAAGAAATGTAGACATTTATACAAATACTAAATTTCCAGAGCTACACTTGAAAACTTAAGCCAGTTGTATTAATACAGATACCAGAGGGGGTTATCTTTTCTTTTGTAAATTCACAATATTAGTGGACATTATTAGTGAATATTAGTGGACAATTATTGGTCCTGAAAATGAAAATGACATTAAAAATCATATAGAGGATTGAAGTGATAGTCAAGTAAGTATTCTTCTCTTTTAACATTTATTCATTTATTGGGAATGAAATATCTTTTCTAGCATCTGTAGTTATGACACTGTAAACATTATTGAAATGATGAATGCACTGATGCTTATGCACTCATAAATTGCATACAGCCTACAGTTAGCAGAGGTGTCATTATAGTTATCAGGAACATGGGGTTTGATTCACCAAAGTGATGAATACCTCCTTCAAGGTGCTGATTGCCTTCAGCCTCCTTAGAATTCAGGGGGTTGAGAGCTCTCACTACCTTGCAGGGGGCACTCAGTATCCACACCAAATAGGTTCAAATCAGGTATGTAAAAGAAAGGAAGAATTCCAGGGAACTTTTGATCTAACATTAATTAAATAGGGTACAAAAATATGTAAAGGCAAATAACAAATTTGAATAGATCTAAATTCACTCACAGAGTGAAAATGAGAAGACTCAACAACAGCAGGAACGTTTCAGCAGATGAGATTATGAAAAAAATGCACAAAGGAGAATAGGAAATCATTTGGTTCCAATAGGATCTTTAATATATTGATTTTTCTCTTGTATAAAATGATTTTCATCTTCCTTCAGGAACTGTCTGTCTTATCTATTGGGCCTGTACCTAGATCGTAAGACATGCCACCTCCTCTCTGGGTGAATGGTACTAGTTGTGTTTTCCACAGAGTAGTTAGGTAGTTAGGTTTTGTACGATTAGTGTCTGAGAGAAATTTTAGGGCATCTTTACATGTGGTCTGGGGTGGGAGTGGGGAGCTGCTGTAATTAAAGTGCCCACGGTGTCTCATGTATTCAGCATCCCATGCTTCAAAATGGTGGTGGGGGTACTTTAACTAAAGCTGGTCGAACAAGCTTTAGCTAAAGCACCCCACGACCATTTTGAAGCATGGGAACGCTGAATACACAAGATGTTGAGGCTAATTAGCACACTCCAGCAGACTCGATTCATTGAGTCCGCTCCTTAGTTTAAAATCTTAATTACTTTCAGAATCTTCATTAGTGCTGTCATGTGTTTCTCTCTGCTTATAAAACCAGACATTTCAGAACCATGTGCCTAAAATATAGACTTCAAAAAAGAGATAATGATAATACTTTGTAGGATCAAGGCATTAATGTAGGCTTGTAAGAGACTCTACATTTGGGGATGGTTCTCTTATTAAGTCTTGTTGGTGAATTTATATCCATTGAATGAATACTTTTTTTAACTAAGTACTTTAGAATTTAAATTTTATGTTAAAAATCCCACTTCTTTTGGGTTTTTTAAAAAAGTTTCTACTTAAATTCTGGAGGTTTTCAGTTGGGTGTTAACATATATATAGAACAGAAGTACATCTCCACTATATTATACTCCTTTCTGAAGGGGAGAGCAAAATAGCACTTAGGCCCAGATTCAGCAACAATATCCGCTAAGGTGGAACATTTCAAACCTGTAAAGTCCATTGAGTGCAATAATATCGGCCCTCCTTGATGGTCCTCAGCAGGGTTTGAGGAAGCAGTTGATAATTAGTATTTAATGTCTTCTAATAAGAAGCAAAATTTGCTAACTTTGAAAGTACTCAGAGGAATTGTGATTTTCATATTCTTCAACCTCAAATGAATAATTTATTGACTGGCTGTATTAAGAGCTTCCAGCAGAATTAGCATTCTGTGTACAATTGGGCCTGTGAACCTGCAAGCTATACCCATCAGAATTCTGTTTATTGCATGTATTTTCTGATTATTCCATGGAGTGATAAACTCTTAAAATTTGTATGGATTATTAATAAAGTAGCAGTGTTCTTAACTGTAAAATCTTTAGTGCTCCTCCCAAACAAATGTATTTCATTAGAGTCCATTTTTTGCATTATCTGTCTTAAGATCTTGCTTTTGTCTTTTGTCTTAAGATCTTGCTTGACTTGCAAAAAATCTTTAAAAATGAACAGGAGTTGGTTATGAAAAACTGATTAAATATATTTTCTAAATTAAATGAAGTGAGGTATGTGTGGGTGTGGGGAAAATGAGAAAAAGTTAATGAGTTAAGAACCACATCAGTGTACTCATCATTCATATTCATTGTTTATACTTTTTTCATTTAACTTAAATGTAAATCTAGTTTGTGCTGTAGCAATATACCCAGTATACCATTTATCCTTTTACTGTATTTACTCAAATATAAGGCAACCCTGATTATAAAATGACTTCCCAATTATCAGATTTTATATATGGAAAGTTTATAAGCTTGTTATAATTTCTCAAGTATAGAATCCAATTATTGGAGGTTTGCCTTGTATTTGTCCCTCTCCCGCTGCTACAGCAGGAAAAGTAAATCTGGGGATCAGGTGTCTCCTTTCCTGTGCCCCCCCCCCCACAAGATCTATCTTCCTTACTATCACACTCTGCTCTCCCTAGGGACATAGAAGTGAGAGGCAAATTTGAACACACTGACCTAGAAATATACATTCCTTAAGTACCTTACAGACAGGGGAATTACTACAGGTATCCATGGATGTGGTTCATCAATAAGTGTTGCAAGTTTTAGACCAGGTACTTCATAAATACTTACACCTTTAAGAAGCAATTCTATACTTACTTGTATATAGTTGCATATAGTACAAACTTTTTTTTTTGGAATTATTTTTATGTTCCAGGTCAAATTAGCCAGATCAAATCATAATCCATTTGAATAATTCAGGAGACACATGTGTCCCTGCTACTGGAAAGCATCTTCCACCCCAGCCTGGGGCATAAAATACTTACAAAATCTTTGGCAGGCATCCTATGTGCAGGCCCAAGTCTGGAGGGTTGGGGTTTGGATGCCACCAAATTTTGTTTGCTCTCAATCATATGGCTGCAGGAGCAAGCTAGGGAGGAGTCCCCCATTTCCATAAAGTCGGTGTGTAGCTGAGATCCTCCTACTGGAAGCTGGCCAGTGGGAAGCTAACTATGAGGCTCTCATAGGGTCTCCTAGCAGCAAGCAGATAGGAGTGCACTCTCTGTTACACAGTGCCATTTTAATTGCATTTTCAGCTTGGATATCAGACCAGTGCAGTGACTATGCTTGATCTTAGCTCACAAGATTTTTGTTTTAATTGAAAAAAAAATTAAATTAGTTATTTATGTACATCCTCTATCATAGACTTCCATTGCACCTTTTTTTTAAAACCACCTTAAGAAACTCGCACACTCGTTACAATAACTGCACCTGCTCCCCTGCACCCATGTGCACCCACCCTCTGCCCTTCTCTATCCCAAACCCTGGTCCCTTAGTCCAGGCCCCGATTTCGGGTTTCCTTTCTCAGCTCATTCAGTGTCCTTGTCACTGTCGATGTCACTGTCCCTTCCACTGCTGCTGATCATGTTGTTGTCCTCCTCACTGTCTCCAGGTCCAGTTGTGTCATTGTCCCCTTCGTTCTCCCTGTCCACTTCCCTTCCCAGAGGGACTTTGAACAGCCTGTGACACGTGCCCCTTTTCCAGATGGAGTTGGCTGCATCCTCTTCATCCCCTCCCACCGCTTTCCAGTAGTAGGACTGGAGTTCTCTCAGAAACATTTTAATACAATCCGTTTGCTCAAGCTTAGTATGAGGGTCCACTAAGGAACATCAGGAGGTTCCTGCATTGCCACAGGGTGCTTCTGATGCAGGACACAAACTGGTCAAAGTGGGTTGTCTGGGACCCCTGATGTTTAGTCAGGAGTCTGAACTGCGCTGCCTCCCTTGTCATCAGCCTGACTCCTGTCACTTCCTCAAGGAGCTGCCTTACCTTTTTCCATACTCCCTTGGCATAGGGGCAGAGCCAAAGAAGGTGGCTGATGGTCTCATTCTCACCTTGGCAGCTTGCCCTGGGGCAGCTGGGTCTAGACTCTCGTCTCGATCTGTGCCTCCACACCTTCATTGGGAGTACATCGTGAGCTATGCGCTAGTTCAAGTCTCTGTGATCTTTTCTTAGGTCTTTGTGGAAGATCCGGTCCCAGACAGCCTGGCAGTCACCATCAGGGAGCAGCTCCAGCGTTGATAGCCTGTCTCTCTCTCTGACTGTTTTCTGTATCTTACTGCGGTTGGACATGATCTCTGGGCTTTCCTTCTGTAGCCCATACTTTCTCCAGAACTCCTTCAGCACACTGTAGAACCAGTGTAGGGGTGCTCCATGGTACATGGTCTCCTTCTGGCTAGTGTGTACACCTCCCATAGTCTCAGGAGGTGACCTGTAAAATACTTGACAAGACAGGCTGTTTTGGTTGCTGGCCTGGTCACCAGCTTGCAGATCTGGCTCATGTACCGTCCCCACAGAAACAGGTGAATGTCTGGTATCCCCCTGCCCCTGGCCTGTTTTTTCTTGTACATGGTCTTTGTTGCCAACTTCTCCTTTCTGGATCCCCAAAAGAAGATGCACATGGCTTTCTGGATTCTGTGGCTGACATACTTGGGTGGGGGGAAGACCAGTGCAGTGTATAGAAGCACTAGTAGCAACACTGCCTTCATGAGTGCCATGCACCCACCCATGGAGAGGCAGCATGCATGTCACAGACCCAGTCTCTGCTTCACTTTGGACTCCTTCTTCTCCCAGGCACTCCTTCCACTCAGCTCGGGGTCAAACTCCACCCCAAGGATCTTGACCTCCTCAAGGGGGGCCGAGACTCCCAGGGACGCCAGGTCCCTGAGCTCACCCATGGCCAGGCATGTGCTCTTGCTCACATTGAGCTTGGCCCCTGCTGCCACCTCATAGATCCGTGTGTGCCACAGGGCTCTCTCTACAGCACACTTATTCTGGCACAGAATGTTCATGTCATCCATGTAGGCCAGGACCTTGGTCTATTCCTTGCTTCTTCTGGGAATCAGGATTCCATGCATCCTGGGGTCCTGCCTGAGGTGCTGGGCCTGAGTTTCAGTGGCACAGATAAAAAGGATTAGGGAGAGTGGGCAGCCCTGGTGGACCCCCGACTCTATCGCAATCTGTGCTCTGAAAAACCCATTGACCAGCACCTCACTGCTAACATCTGTGTACAGTGTCCTTATCCAGCTGGTCAAGGACGGAGGGACACCCATTCACTTCAGCATCTTGAAGAGAAACCAGTGTGGCACTCTGTTGTAGGCCTTTTCCAAGTCCAGGTTCAGCATCGCCCACTTCTGTCTTCTGGCCCATTCCAGCTGGAGTGCATTCCTCAGTTGCAGCAGGGCTCCATGGATCTGGCATCCTGGTACCACAAACAACTGGTCTTCATGGATTATGGAACCTAGGACAGATTTAAATCGCTTGGCCAAGACTTTGGCCAGCAGCTTACAGTCAAAGTTCAGGAGGGTGGTGGGCTTCCAGTTCCTTAACTCTTCCCTCAGACCTTTCATGTGCAAGAGAGTCATGAGGCCCTGGTCCATCCCAACCCCTAAACAGTCCTCCTGAAGTTACTCTTAAAAGAGCTCCAACAGGTTGGGGCCTACCAGGTCCCAAAAGGTCACATAAAACTCCATGGGCAGGCTGTCCAACCCAGGAGTTCTACCATTGTTGAACCTCCAGAGGGTGTGCTCGAGCTCCTCCAGTGTCCACTCCTCTTCTAGCTGCTGCTGCTCAGCTTCTCTGAGGGCCTGGGTGAGTCCCTGCTGCATGGTCCTCACATCGTGCACTGTAGAATTCTCGGTAGAAAGTGGTTACCTTTTCCAGCATGCCTTCCTTCGACTGGTGCTCTGTCTCTCAGGTACATCATGGGCTTCTCTTTGCTCTTCTTTATTCTGGAAAAGTAGGCAGACTACTCCTCCTCCTTTGCTACCCAGGGTACCCTGGCCTGGAAGATATTTTTCCTGGCCTCCTCCTGGTATCAGGCCCCAATCTGGGCCTTTACCTCCTGCATGTCTTTCCTCACATCCCAGCCTGCTGCTGCCTGCCTGTGCAGGTCCTGTAACTTACGGGTCAGGTGTTCATGTTGCCTCCTGTGGGAGAAAGCTCATCGATTGCTGGCCTTCTGGAAGAACCTTGGTTCTGTTTTTGACACTGGCCCACCACTCTGTCTGATTCAGGTACAGGCTCTTGAGGGCCTCCAGTCTGCATAGTGCTCTCTGTAACTTTGCTGGGTCTTTTTGTCTTCCAGCAGCCTGGTGTTTAGCTTCCATACCTCCTTGCCCCTCTCCAGCTGACCTCTCATTTTTGCCTGGATTGTGAGGAGACAATGCAGGCCTGAGAAACAGACAGGCATGGAGTGGGCTCCCTTTACCTTCCACCCCTCGGGGAGGAGGACAAAATCTATCTGGGTTTTGGCTTGCACTACTGGGTCCACTCAGGTGAAATTCCCACTGAGGCCTTGGGCTTCTTTCCTGGAGTCTACTAGGCTGTGGTCTTTGATCAGTTGTTTTAGTAGCCTGGAGGATCTTTCTATGCCTGCCCTCTGGGCTGTGCTGACTCTATCTTCCTCGCTGATGACACAGTTGGAATTCCCTGCGATGATTACCGGCCAGCCGCTTGGCATTGTTAGGGCCATGTTTTCTAGGAAATTGTAGCTTGCCTTTGCTTTGGTTGGTGCGTACCCACACAGGACTTCAAAATCTGTCCCATTTGCTTCCATGGTGGCTTGCAGCAGCCTTCCTGCTACTATTTCTCTGTGCTGCATGGGGTATACTGTATCTCCTTTCAGCAGAATTGTGACCCCAGTAGCCCTAGTGTCATCCGCCCTGACCACAGGGCTGCCCCATGCAGCCTGTGTTTGGAGAACAAAGAGCTGCTGGTGTTAATGGGAAGACCACACTCCTGCAGTCAGATCATGTCTGCTTCTATCTCCTCCAGAGTCTGTATTACCTGGTCCCATTACCTTTTCCCTAACAAACTTCTCACATTCACAGAAACAATTTTAAGAGTTTTCATTGTGTAGTTAAATTTGGGTGGTGGTTGCGGGGGGTAGGATTTCAGGTACCTCCTTTCTTCTCTCAATTTCAAGTTTGGCTTTCTTTTCCTCACTCTCTGGATCTTGCTGTTTTGCCTGACTGGGCCCTTCCTTAGAGTCCCTTGCATGACATCAGTCTAAAGCCAAAAGGCTTATCATTAATCATAGAGTTCATTGGGCTAGGCCCCAGCAGAGACAGCGGTGTTTCAAGCCATGGTTATCCCACATCTCAACACTTCTCAGTATGTGTATATTACAAATACCTCCTCCCCTCCCTCTTCCCCAAAGGAGCCATGTCCTAATTAGCCCCTTACTAGTGCCTGGAACCAGGTGTTCTTGTCATGAGTCCTGGTATCCTCCAAAAATTTATATGTAGATGAGGTGCAGGGCAACCTGGTCTGGCTCCATCTCATGGAGGATGGGCCCACACTAATCATATGTGACAGGCTGAGAAAGTGTGAACAGAAGGATTCTGGGTAAGTTATTTGGGGCCCTATTTGGTGATGTTTTCCAGGCTTTTAAGGCTAGTTAAAAAAAGAGGACTCATTGGAAATGGGAAAGAAATGTCAGCTTAGCTGTGGGAGTGAAGAGGAAATTGAAATGTATTCAATGTATGGCTCACCATGACTGGAAAAGAGTTGACATTGAGGGGGACTGAGTGCAATGGGAACTACTATATAATTCAGACCTATACTGACTTATAAAAAAGCTCTTTACTTTTGTGGTAGGTTTCCATCAACATATTGAACGTAGTAATTTAGTGGGAGGGTATCAGGATTGCTCTGGTTCATCTGGTGCTGGTGTGGTATTGTAGTACCTCTAGGCCCAGTGCTAGTTCTCTGTGGAGGAAACATTTTCCCATTTTTTAGGGCTATTAAAAAACAAAATAGAAAATGGTTCCCAACATTGTGTGTTTTATAGTTGTCCTCAGTATTGGCTGCTTTAGTTAACTTTAATAGTTGGTTTCTATTTCTGAGCACATGCTGCTTTTGGCAGCAGTTCAATTATAGATGATGTATTTAGTGAGGTTTCCTTATAAATATAAGACGAGGGGCTTTTTCTCACATGCTGATTGGGGGGGAAATCCTCGTCTTATATTTGAGTAAATATGGTACTACAAGAAAACCAAAACAAACTTTTCCCAGCACCAAAGCATATCTGGTTTGTAAGCATTTTCATGGGAAGTTTTTCACTGGGACCTAATCTTGAGAGGTACATGCTCCATATCTCTCAGAATCAAGCCTAATAAAAAGAGAGTTTTCAGGTGTCCTTTTTATGGGAATAATTGGTCTTTGAATCCTTAATTTCCAGTATTCAATAACTGAAAATATCCAGGAACATCCTAGGACTAAATACCAGTTTGAATTATTGCCTATGTATATATGGTCACAGGACAAACATATTTTAATTGGAATAACAGAACTGGATACCTCATTTATAGTTGATCTAGAGCACAAGAAATATAATTTTTAAATGAAATTTTAAACAGTGATCTGTAAAAAAAATGATGGCTTATAAAAACAGCTTTGCAAACCACATTAGGGGTGTAGCCTAAGAAATACTGCAGTGTTCTGTGGATGTTTTAATTGTATACAATGAAAAAAATTAAATATTTCATCCTGATATTTTTCCCTTTCTCACAGCACTGGAGAGCATGGAAGGATATTATTACAGGGACAGTGTATCAGTAGAAGAATTTCAAGCCCAGATTAATGCAGCCTCACTAGAAAAAGTCAAGCAGTATAACCAGAAACTCAGGTAGGTAATAAGCCAGCCTTCCCTATGTTTGCTACATAGCCTCCATACTAAGCTGGAGCTTTTCAAATTATGGTAGATAATAGAACATTCATTTGTGGTCTGTAGTGAGCTAACTGGACTTGACTCTTCTTATTTCTAATTGCTAACTTGAATTTTAAAATACATTAAATTCTTTTCTAATATTTTTCCTTGAAAAAAAACCACTTTTGGAATTGCCTTGGTGGTGTTCTGTTCCTGTAAAAAGAGAGGGAGCTGTTGTCTTTGTAATCAGAAACAGACTAGAATGTGACTTTTTAAGTGAAGCTCATGACTCTGAGAGCTCTACTCAGTGGGAGCATCTACATGTGTGCTTTACTGCACATTAGACTGATCTAATGTTCAGTAAAGCATCACCTTTTACATGTGTGGCAATTACTGTGCAGTAGATTATGTAAAGCAATGTTTGCTAGTTCTGTCAATTTCTAGTTTGTATAGGAGATTGGCTAAGAGAATCTAATAAAGGAACTACAGCAGTAAAATCCATTGACTTTTGGAGCATTATTCTCAAAGGAAAACATAAAACTGAAAATATTTCCTGGAATTATGCTCATTCGGACTGAAAGCCTCAGAGTAACTTTGAAGGCAGTAGAAACTATGCATATAGAACCACCTAATTAAGAACAAACTAAGCCAAATAACCCAATGTAGTCCATAAGCCCCTTCCGTTTCACCAGAATCATGCACATATCTTCTTGACCCTGAATTTATAAATCATTTCACAGTCTTTTGATAATCTCAGCCTTAGGATAAATCACTGTAGGGAGCTAAAAGGAAAGAAATAGTTACACCTGAAGAGGGCATGGGGATGTGTTAATATAGAACCATTTCAAGCAATCACAGTTGTGGCTAAGTCATCTATCAATGAAAACTGTTGACATGAATCTAGTTTCCAGATAACACTGAGCCATTAAAACTTAATAGAACTAAAATATGCTAATTTTCTGTGGAGATGGCATGATATTTGCTTACCTTTGATGGCACTTAAAAATGGTTTGAGCTGTTGACCTAAACATGTCTATGCAACTTGAACAGTTAGATGCAACGATCAATAATAATTTGGCTTTTTAGCACTTAATTCTGCAAATACTGACTGTGCATTTCAATGAATTTTAACTGTGTAGAAAACTTTAACAGCATTTTATTTCTTTCAAGATAAGAATTTCTCACAGGTTTCTTAAATAACTCCATAAAGTCATTTCAACTTGAATGACTCAACAGACTTTTTTGTATAATTTAAAAAATGTCAAGAAGTATGTGTTACTCCTTGTACAAAATAAAGATGGTGATTCCCTGTTTTAATTGAAAAGTTCAGTCATAAATATGGAACTATAATCAGCTTTGCCATATTATAGCAGATATTTTATCCTGGATACAAGAGCTACCTTAATTCTAATTTAGGTATTCATAAAATGTTTATAATTTACAGTTCTTGGGGTTTTTTCAAGTACCTCTCATGACTGATATATCAGTTATATGATTATCATATCTATGGTGAAGCATGGAAGGTAGTTTGAAGCCAGCTATAGAATAGGTCTCTGTCTTCCTTATTTGACTCAGACTAATCAATCTTTATCTAATCAATAGTATAAGGAAACATTAATTTTAGGATAGCTATGGTTTAGTTTTCCCCTAGAATTGCAAAAAAGCACATCAGCAAAGGAGAAATACTTTATCTGTATAAAAATATTGAGAAACTGCTGCTGATATATTTATCTTTATACAGTCAGCCAGATTGCATTTATGTTTATAGTTAACCATTAGCATCGCCATTTCTGTTTCTCAGACACCTGCAGGAGAAAAAAAATGTTGTGCTGAAATTCTGTTTGCAAGTTGGGGAGATGGTGGTAGTTGCCAGCACTGTAAATATAGTCTGATCTAATGGTTTGCAAATGAGAACATGCTGCACAATCAGAAGAAAGTAATTAAATCAGCAAAGATTTTAAACATGTTTATTACCAGGGATCCTGATTTTCTCTGTTAAAAAATCCCAAATTCTCTAATAAAAAATCTGAAATTCTCTGATTAGAAAACCCCAAATCTATGTTTTTCTATAATTAAAATTAAATGCCACTATATATATTCTTATATAATAAAGGGCTTAGTCCATCTGTCTGTCTGTCTGTAACCTTCTTGGAGCACTCTGACTGGTTAGTGAAACAACCTATCAAAGTGCGGAGCACTGCCATGACAGCAGGGACATAGGGGACAGAGTGGCAGGGTGGGGGAGGGGCCGAGGCCAGAGCCACTGGCCTCGCCTCCCCACTCCATCCCCACCATCATGGCAGTGCTCTGCCTCCAAGAAGCAGGGCCGGGGGGCGGGGGGGGCGGAGGGAGAGGGTGAGGCCAGCGGTGGTGGCATGGGGTGCTGGCAGAGGGGGACGGAGGGGACAGCTGGGCAAGCTTCCCCCCACCTGCTCCTGGGAGGGGGTGGTGGGTGGTGGTGCATTTTTCCATGTTTTTCCATGGCAAAAGGAAAACCTGGATCTCTATTTATTATTATATGTTTGACAGCTCAGTGGTAATCCTCTAATTTAGAGAAAGTATATAAAAAGCTTACATCTTAGCAGTATACCTTAGCAGTATAGTAGCTGATGGTAAGTGACTCCCATTTCTTCTAATCTCCTTAGGTCTCTTTTACCCTGAGATTTTTTTTAACCCTTCTCTTGACCTTGTACTCTCCTTTAGTTCTTTTCACAAACTAAATGTGCTTTAGTTATTCCTGTCTTAAATCCACCTTCAATTCTCACTTGCCTTTCCATCAACTGTGCAATCTCCCTTCCTTTTTCCATCTTTAAGCTTTTTGGAGTTCTTCTCCAATTTTGTCCTGTCCAATCTGGGTTCTCCTTTGTGCTCTACTGAACCCACTTATGGTATTTTCCTTATTGACCTCTTCATAGCCTGTGCTCAGAATTAATGCTTCATCTTCATGTTTCTTGGTCCATCACCTTTGATCCCTACATAGCCTTTCTTTCTGGGTGTTGTTCTTGGATTCTGTGCCCTCTCCTGGTTTTCCTCTGACCTCTTAAGTGCTTCTTGTACCTCTCTCCTCTTATACTTCTGCATCTCATCTCTGTTGCTTCAAGTATACATAAATTTAACCACCATTTCTACAACTTGCAGGTGTATCTCTTTAGATCTAGTATCTCATTCGGTCTTTCTGACATTCCTTCCATGCATGGAATCACCAGGTTTTCAGGTTTTAGTTCACGATCACTATGGTTATAACAGAGAACTTAATTTTTCATTCTTTCACTTTCTCAATCATTATCCTGTCTGTCACTTAGGACTATGACCCTGGGTGTCATTTTGACCCATTTATCTCTGTAGGTTCTCACTTCTTGTCTCTGTTTAAATCTTGTAGATTCTTGTGTTGAGAATACTGCTTATCATTATTTTCTGATGCTATCTGTATCTAGATACTATCTCATGTCTTTTTACTTAGACTGTAAACTTTTTGGGGCACATACTACCTTTTTTGCTCTGTGTTTATATATTGAATAATCTAGTCCTGGTCTAGAACACCTCTGGACTATGGTAATACAATTATAAATTATGTCTGCATATTGAACACAATGTCTTTACAGGAACTGTTTGCTAATTTTGAATAATCTAAATTTAAAAGGACACAGGAAGGTTGTATCTTAATTGTTTATCATTTTAGATTTTTGTACTGTTTAAAATATCCATTAACATTTGAAAAAATCTTACCACATATGTCTCTTACATTTGGCAAATGCCTGATATTTTTCTTTTTTGCATATGGAGCATAAGCTAGGCCACTATGACTATCATTAACTTAAGTGCATGACAGAGGGCCAAGTCCAAATCAACATAATAAGTGATTAAGCAGAACTTCATTGTAAAGTAATTGCCTAAGTTGCAAAAAGAAAGATCAACCTCAAACCCACTTCAGGACCTGAAAAATCCCTTATGTTCTTAGACAGTGATTCTCAAATGGGGCTCTGGGAGATCTATTGAAGGGTGCTGCAAGATGTGAGACAGTAAGTGCAGGCTTCTCCCTGACTGACCACCCCTTCTCCCTCTTTCCTAACTGCCCAGCCCCTCACCAGCTCCCCTTGTCCCCCAGTAGAGACCTTTTCCTGTGATATCCCTGACTACATAATGTTCTAGTTTTTCATTTAAAGGGTGCTGTTACAGGTTACCTTTAAAACATTGTAAATCTGTGGAATGTTATGACATCAAAGTTAGAACAGTTTCAGAGCAGTAACAGATTAAGGTTTAATGCCATCTCAGACCTGTACAACTGACTTGCCATTAGAGGGCCTGGTGAGTAGGGGTGTGGACAGAAGCCAGGACTCTATGCTTCCTTTGGGTGGGAGAGGACATTACCTTGGAAATGGAGAAACCACCATGGGGTTGTGGCTTCCTTCACTCTACAGTCAGCAGGAGCCAGGTAGAGCCACAGTTGAGGATGTGGGGGAAGGTTTTGGAAAAAAAATCTGTTTGAAGTGAATGGGCAGAAATAGAGAGACGTAAAGAGAAAGGAGTGAAAAGAACCACCCATCAGCCAGTGATGGTGGATATTACAGCTATTCTACTGACTGATGATGCATTTTCTCTTGTGGCTGTAAAGACTGATGTTAGACTTGCAGGTCCTGCCACAGTTGTCACAGCTGTACCTGGTGTTAGGGGCTACTGTACTGACAGGCTGTTTCCTTCAGTTGCATTTCTGTTGTAAATCAAGTGACCATTTCTTATTGTGATATTGGACTCTATGACTGAGAAGGGAGCACCACTTTGTCCTCTCTCCTGCTAAGGCCTCCCAAAGGTTTGGGTCAATTCCAAAAATCTTCATATCTTTCTTGCAGATATCTTTGAAGTGCAAATTCAGGGACCCTACTCTTCTCTCCCCATCTATAATTTTCCCATACAGGATGTCCTTTAGAATGCACCCATTGTCTAGCCTGTGAAGATGGCCAACCAGCATAGGTGCCACTGTT